AAAAAAAAAAGATGTGTGCATTTGTATGCACATTATTTCTCTTCCTGGAAGTCCTTTTCTCTACTTCCCTAACCCACAAAATATCTTTTCCTCAAATACTATGTGTCCAATTAAATTTGTCATTACTCTAAAATTCTCCTTTCTTTCTTGAAATCGCACTTACTTGAAGTTGTTTTTTTTCTTTGTGTGTGTGTGTGTGTATGTGTGTTTATAACACAGTTTATATATTTCTATTCAAACTTTAAGAAGAAAGTTTAAAAGAAAGAAGGTTTTAAGAGCATGTAAATCTTTCTCAATGGTCTTTGATATCTAAAGATCAGGAACATTGCATAAGTCATGTTTCTGGCTTCATGTCCTTGCTGGGGCTCAGGAAGAGATACTCCAAATTATGACATTTTTGGATGCTAAATTGAAGAAGACTCAAGGTCTCTCTGACCTCCTCCTTAGCTCATCCTGTTTCTCAATCTTCTGTTTCTCCCAAAACATAGCATGAAGTTCTCTAATATTCCCTTATCTGCTTAAAGTCTGGACACATCAAAAAAGAAAACACAATTCCCTCTGGTCCCTTCGTTGAGTTTTCATTTTCTCAATTCATACTGCAAGAAGAAAGACCAAAGTCTTTCTAGACACATCTAGACAGATTTTGTCACAAATGATTGTCTGCTGTGAGAACCCAACAGACTGTGTCCCAGGTCATTATGTGTTCTTCAACCCCATGAAATCACCCTAAATGTTATTTACTACCCTCCTAAAATCATCCATACTTTGCTATATCTTTTCCTCTAAGAAGAAGGATATATAACCATTTGTGCCCCATTGCATGGTGGGATAATTATTCTGTGTTAATAAATCTGTATCCCATTTTTCCTATTAATCTGACTATTATCAGTGTAGTTTCAGTGAACCTTCAGAGGCTGAAGGGAAAGTTTTCCCTTGTCTGTTATAGCCCTATATTGTGAAACTGAGAAGGTTCAGTATCTGGCTCAACATCATGATAAAACAGATATTCAGTAAAAGTTAATTTAAAAAATTTTCAACATTCACAGGTTTCCCAAAAAAAAAAATAAAAAATAAAAAAAATAAAAAATTTGTAAAATACTTGATACAAGTGGACCAAGGCAAGTTAATTACTGTTATAATAGCAAAGAATCTAAGATTGGGTGAGATTAAATAATTATATATTTAGCCTGGATACCTGATTACATTTACATCTTACTCTACCATCTCCTACAATTTTCTGATTTAAAACATTCCAGTATCTATGCAGAGGTTTCAATAAAAGTGCTGCATTTCATGTTTTGACCCAAATCTTTGAATTGAACATTAACCTCATAGAAAACTATATAATTTGGTGAGAAATTATATCCTAAAATTTATACATAGTCAATGCCTAATAAACTCAAGTTTTTCTTTTCTTTTCTTTTTTTTTTTTTGAAGATAGAATCTTGCTCTGTTTCCCAGGCTGATTGGAATGCAGTGGTGCAATCATAGTTACCTACCTCAGCCTCTAGAGTAGTGGAGACTACTTATAGGCATGTGCCACCAAGCCTGGCTAAAGATGCAAAGCTTTTTAAAATTGCAATTTTGCAATAGAATTTAAAATAAAATTTACATAGTTCGTTGACATTGTTATCACAATTTGAATTATGTTTTCCATATGCCCTAAATTAGGCATATGCAAAACATAATTGTTTAGGGTGTATGAAAAACATAATCGTGAAAATGATGAAATTAAAATAATAATTTGTATTAAAATCTCATTACTAGAAAATATTGACCAAAAGATTTATTACAGGACACCCAATGTTTAAAGAATAGAAATTTGTGGTTTGCTTACTAATATCATAAGCCAAATATCCCAAATCATATCAATGATTTCAAAAAAGCAAATTTGCATTCTGCAAAATTCACAGGTTCTTATTTCTGGAAGTCATATATGAGAACAACAAAATGATAAAAAGTGAAGTGACTAGACATGTTGTATTCAACTCCTTTTATATCAAATTATATATATTAAAGACATACTTCTAATTTTCCCTATGATGATATTTATATAATCTATTCTTTAACATATCTGTGTGTGCATTAATGTACAAATACATATAGATATTTATAGATTTAGACAGATTCAACTTCCTTAAACAATACAGTTCATTAATTTTTTTGCCATGTAACCTCTCTAATTCTTTATAAAAATTATCTCTGTTTTTTCAGTTGCAAATATATTGAGACTTAAATAAGATCTTCATTTTAGAGGAATACTGCCCCATAGTTGCTGGCCAAAAAGAATGGAACAAACATATCTTCCTAAGTTCCCCCAGTTTATAACCATTAGATCATACTTCTCAATATTCAATCATGTTTTGCTCCACAACTACCCACTTCTTTCCTGAGATTTAGTATAACAATATTGCTTCCTTTCTCGTTTTCCCTAGGCCTTTGAGTTTTTATTTTTGAAGGCTCCCATGTCATGTAGAACCTTGATTAAATAAATTCGTTATGCATTTCTCATTATTCTCTCTTTTGTTACAGGGGTATCATCCATAACCCTTGGAATGAGTGAGCAAAAGGTATTCCTTTTCCTGTGTTATTTCTGTAATGTCACATATCTTTTTGCAAATACTACAAAGTGAATGAGTACTATTTTGGAAAGAGAAGCATAAATATCAGGGAAAAGAGGTCCATGAGCAAAGCCAGTCTAGAGGAAAGTCATAGCTGTCACTGGACAAAAGGAGGAATTATTTTGATTTGATTCATGAATAAAGGGGAGCCAGATGAGAGTGACAATGACAATATTTAGCAAGAAATAATTTGGGGACTCCCTTGCAAAATACTACATGGGAAGGACCAGCGAAGTGTATTTGTGTGACTAAGGGAGAAATTGATCAAGGTCTAAATTACTTTGTGTAATATAAGAAAAATAATAATTGGCTAGATTTTAATTAGAGAAAAGAGAACATAGTATTGGTGGCTGTGCACATTCAAACAACAGATCTTTATTGCCCCAGCCCTATTCCCCTTATCCTATGATTCCGAGTCAATGCTGGATTGGAAAATTAGAAAACTCTTGATGTAGATCTTTGAACATAACTAAAGAATATTACACAGGTGAACATGCTTGGAAAGACACTTTGGAAGAATGCTTTCCAAGCACTAGGTGAAAGTTAAAATTTGTAGAAGAACATCCTTGTGAAGTTATACTAAAGGAATTTTGAACACATCGACAGAAATATAAACCTGTTTTTAAAAACTTCTAAAAAAATCTTTAAAATGCAGAATGAAAAACAAGTGACTTCTAGATTCTAGGCAATTTTTAGGCTTTGTTTATTTTCTATAACCACAGTAGAGAACAAAATGTGTCAGTACTTTTAGCAATTTTCTGCCTCCCTGTTGTTCCCTCTGTTAATTTTTTTCTTTTCATCTTTATTCCTATTATGGAGATTTTTTTTACCAATATAATTGAAGGACATAGAAAAGTACTTGGAATATAATAGTTGCTTTATGTATACTGTTGAATGTGAACAGGTTTTAACGATTCCTTTACATCAGAATTATATCTACCAAAATAGATAAGATTTCTTGTCTCTTGTCATTATAGAAAAGCCCACCATAAAAGCTGGAATTTGAATTCATCATAAAAGTTATTCTAAATTACATCTTAATCAATGAAACGACAGAGTCAATAGAAAGCAATTCAGTAGCCTCTGAATTTGTATACTTTATATTAATACATATATTCTTTTATTTCATCAGTGATATGTTATAGTTAATACTTAAAAGGGAACCTCCGTCTATTAAATTTCTTACCCCTAGATACCATAATACACATCTTGCTTTTTCAAATGCCTCATCCAAGTGCTTGGATCTCCCAGGTAGTTGCCTTCCTTAGGGGAACATGACTAAGAAAAACACTGTCCCCAAAAGACAATGTCCACAATAATTAATGAAACCATCAAGAGCAAATGAGGAAAATCAGTGCATTCCTTTGCCATAAAATATTGAGACCATCAAAAATCACCAGATATGTGAGTAAAAACTAAAACAACAGAAAAGAAGATTAACAATATTAATGTTAGAGAAATGATATAATTTAGGAGAAACCCTAAATTAACCCTAAAAACTATTAAGGGGAAAAAGAAGAAAACAGAAGACTTCTTAGTTTACATAATTTCTAGAGTACATCATATGATAGACAAGAGTATTTTTATCTAACTCTCCCTTTGATATACTGTTTTCTAATAGTTTATTATAATAGTTTCTAATAGTTTATCTGTATTACTTTCTGAACTGATTGGGCCTCCTTTGTCTCATATTTTTTACTCTTGATTTCTCTATTTTTTATAATTGTGCTTTAATTAGATTTTTCTTGAATTTATCTTACAGTCCTTAATAAATCGTATTCTTGTCTAAGTAAATAATCAAGATTTTTTAAAAACACTTTCAAGAACTTTCTTGATCTCTGGTTAATTTTTGTTTCTTTATATAAATATGTTCTTGGTTTATACATGAAATATTATGCTGATTTTACTCTTGAAAGTTCCTAGGACTTCTATTGTTTTTCCTTTTAAATTTTATCTTTCTCAAATTAACTATATTTCTACAAATATTATTTTTTAAATTTATCTTATCTTCTAATTAACTTTCTTTAGTTCTCACGAATCTGGTGATTTTTTGATGATTTATTTATATTTTATATTAGAAGATCACATGGACTTCCTTTGGTGGCTCTTGAAGTTTTCCTCCTCTACTATGGATGTCAGTGTTTTGTCAGGCATCCTTTCCCCTGAGCAGGAAATCTGCATGGGAGATATGTGTAGATAGGTAAGGTGTGGTGACTAGCAGGATTTGGTTGAGTACAGTTAAGACGGAATGTGGCCATTAGACTAAGGAGCCCCTAAATGTGAAATTGAGAAGGGATTCTTATTTTCTAGTGTCAGAAACTCCTTTCCCCTCATGAACTCTCCCAACCATACCCTTCCCTAGCAACTCAAAGTCACTCTCCTTGAAATTTAACCTATCTCTCTTCAATCAAGAATTCTTTTGATGCAAACCTTCAGTCTCTATAGGATTATACCTATGAGAACAGCCATCTCCTCAGCTGTAAATCTTGCATATATCTTTGGGATTTTAACTAACTCCACATGTTTAATTTCTCAATATTTCCATTACATTTCCTCTTTCTGTAATGCATTAAACTCTAATCTGCAATGGAACCCTATTCTTGTTCTGATCATAGTTTTGTTATTAATTTTATATTAGCATATGTAAACTAAAAATATTCTGGGTTTAGTTTTATAAATTATTAATCATACAAAGAAAAAATTAATGTCAGGACAGGTGGAGAGTAGCAAAACACTATAAAGTTGTACAAGGAATAAAGACAACTAACAAAAGAGGAATGTAAAACAGATAATCATGGCCAAAGCAGAACTGTTGATTTTTCAATTTTTCACATAGAAAAGAACAATTAGAGGTATATACCAGAACTTTGTTGGATATTGGTTTAGATTTCTTGTCTGTAAAGTTATTCTTAAGTTAATTAGACAGTTAAATCTTAATTTTTCTTATTCTAGATTGTTGGTATTGTTTTTTGCTTGTTTCTAAGTTAAACTTTCAATGTCTTTGTAAAGTACTGAATTAAAGAATTCCTTAAAGACTAGATTTAGATTGACCATATGGATAGTCTGACTGTGATTTTTTCCTGAATCTTAAAGATTCTTATGAACAGAATGAAAAAATAAGTAAGAAATATTCCTTATAGAATGCTATGTTAACAAACTTAGTTCCATCTTGGTAAGTATCACTTTACAGAAATATTTTGTAAAATTTCTTGGAAAGGTTTAGTATATAATCAGCCATCATTCATTCATTCATTCATTTTTTCATTTTTAAGTATAATAAAAGTTTATAGTTACAAAATAAAATTATCCTAAACTTAATATACAATGGAAAAATATCATAATATCTCTGATTTATATTACTTTATTTACCATTTTAACGACTAGAAGTAATTACCTCTTTTTTTGTATCTTTCTCATATTACATATAGATTTCAAATTATATTTCATGTCACTTTAAAACAGATTAATAAAGTTGAACTGTCATTGAATAAAGTAGATTCAGTGTATCAAATAGTTAATAGCAATCAAAAAAGTGTTTGCTAAGAAATCAAAGCAATAAATATAAATGGTATTGAAAAATAGGTAGAGAGTGATGCTAATATAACAATATGAGCAAAGAGAAGAAGCTATGAGTACTATGTAATAATTGGGAATAGTCATTAATTGGGTGTGGCATATTTACAGAGTACAAGAAGATTGTAAGTACTTTGTACCTTATTCTTAGATTGCCAGAACTGGTAATTAATTCTTTTTGAGATTACTCCTTTATCTGACAGTCAGTATTGATATTTGTCTTCAAGCTTACTTCCTGTATTCAGCAATAATCCCTACAAAATTCAAATAGTCACATATTTATTATATTAATCATCTACTATAGGCAAAAGAGAAAAAAGACTGTAAAGTTGATCTTAGAAAATTTAGAGTCCAGTGTTTGATACAGAAATGAATCATGACTTTTTTATAATATGTCTAATGTTTCAATGTATAGAAGTACAAAATGCTATGAGCTCTCCAAAGAAAGCCCTTTTCAGACTTAAGGAGTTACATAAGGCTTCAGAAAAGAAGTAAGACCAAACTTGATTCCTAAGAAGTGATTGGGTATTATCCAGTTTGAGATGTATGTTGTGGAGGCCAGAGTGACTATTCAGATGAAATAATTGTTAAGAAGTAGAGACATGAGAGTAAAATTACACATTTAGGTAAATGCATTTACATGTATTCCATGATGGGAATAGAAAGTTTCTGAGACTATAATGGGAATGAGAGGGAGAGATGTAACTAAAAGTTGAATCTAAAAAGGTAAGAAAAAAAAAAGAGTATAAAAACATTTCCTATGCTATATCAAGAAATGAATACTTTTTTCTTGATAGAAATTGAAATCCCATTAAATATGTTTTGAAAAATGTAGTAGTTATATTTAAATATTTTTGAAAGATACTGTGTCTCTCTTATCCAGAAATTTTAAAGTTGAACTATACTTGAAAGAAGAATACCAACTATGAGTCTCTTACTGTAATCCAAGTGGAAGATAATATTGGACTGAACAAAGATAATGACAGTGAGATGGAAAGAAGGAGGAGAAGAAGAAGAAGGAGGAGGAGGAGGAGGAGGAAGAAGAAGTCAGTAGGCCCTAATGATTAATTCAGTATGGTGTCAGGAGGGGGAGAACTTTCTCAAGTTCTCAAGTATTATCCTTTCTTGTGGATCTTTCTTGTGTTTTGAGCCCCAAAGCATGCCTGATGCATAGTGGGCTTTAATACATATGTTGCTGAATGAATGAATGAAACATTTAATTTAGTCTGTTTTCCTGGTGGTGGTAGTAATGGGGACTGGATAAAAAAGAAGGACATGTCCAGGATATCTGCATTAGTTTCTGCTTCTGTTTATGTGGTGGATTGTGTTTATTGATTTGCATATGTTGAATCATCCTTGTATCCCTGGGATGAAATCCACTTGATTATGGTGAATTGTCTTTTTAATATGCTATTGAATTTGGGTTGCTAGAATTTTTTTTTTTTGAGGATTTTTGCATCTACGTTCATAAGGGTTATTCATCTGTAGTTTTCTTTTTTGTGTGTGTCCTTTTCTGGCTTTGGTAGCAAGGTGATACTTGCTCCATGATACAAATTTGAGAGGATTTCCTCCTTGTTGGTGTCATGAAAGAATTTCTGTAGGATAGATATCAATCCTCTTTGTAGATCTGGTAGAATTTGTGAATCCATCTGGTCTGGGGCTATTTTGTTGCTGTTTAGGGGAAATTTTTTTCACTGCTTAAATTCACTGCTTGTTATGGGATAGATCATCTCCATAGATGCAGAAAAATATTCAGTAAAATTCAGCACCCTTTCATGATAAAAACCCTCAGCAAACTGGGAATGAAGAAACATTCCTTGTAAAATTATAAAACCCATTTATGGCAAACTCACAGCTAACGTTATGCAGAATGGGGAGAAGATGAATGCATTTCTTCTGAGATCTGAAACAAGACAAGGATGCCCATGGTCACTACTTCTATTCAACATAGTACTAGAAGTTCTAGCGAGAGCAATCAGGAAAGAGAAAGAAATAAAGGGCATCCAAATAGAGAAAGAGGAGATCAAAGTATCCTTGTGTGCTTATAATATGATTTTGTATATATAAAATGCTTAAGATTCCACCAAAAGATTTCTAGAATTGATAAATAAATTCAACAGAGGCTAGGCGCAGTGGCTCACGCCTGTAATCCTAGCACTCTGAGAGGCCAAGGTGGGTGGATTGCTCGAGGTCAGGAGTTTGAAACCAGCCTGAGCAACAGGGAGACCCCATCTCTACCAAAAATAGAAAGTAATTAATTGGCCAACTAATATATATAAAAAAAATTAGCCGGGCATGATGGCACATGCCTGTAGTCCCAGCTACTTGGGAGGATGAGGCAGGAGGATTGCTTGAGCCCAGGAGTTTGAGGTTGATATGAGCTAGGCTGATGCCATGGCACTCTAGCCTTGGGCAACAAAGTGACTCTGTCTCAAAAAAAAAAAAGAAAAAGAAAAAAAATTCAACATAGTCTTAGGTTACACAAATCAGTATCACTTCTATGTACTAATTACAGTCAATCTGAGAGTCAAATCAAGAACTCAATACCATTCCTAGTAACTATAAAGAAAATAAAATATCTAGGGATATACTAAACCAAGGAGATGAAAGATCTCTACAAGGGGAACTACAAAATATGAATGAATGAAATCCTAGATGAAACAAACAAATGGAAAAATATCCCTTGCTTATGGATTGGAAGAATCAACATCTTTAAAATGTCCATAATGACCAAAGCAATTTACAGATTCAATGCAATCTCTGTCACAATATGAATGTCATATTTCACAGATCTAGAAAAAATAATTCTAAGCTTCATTTGGAACCAAAAAAGCTTGAATAGCCAAAGCTATCTTAAGCAAATGTATAAATCTGGAAGCATCACATTACCTCACTTCAAATTATACTACAAGGCTATAGTAACCAAAACAGCATGGTACTGAAATAAAAGTAAAGATATAGACCAATGGAATAAAATAGAGAACACAGAAATAAAACCATACAGCCATGATCAACTTTTCTTCAACAAAGCAGACAAAAACATACTGGGGAAAGAATACTCTATTCAATAAATGGTGCTGGAAAAATTGGATAGTCACATGCAGAAGAATGAAACAGGAGCTCTATCTCTCACCATATAAATAAAATAATCCAAATATATAAAAGAATTAAATGTAAGGCATGAAAGAAAAAAAATTCTAGAATAAAACACTGGAAAAACTCCTCTAGACGTTAGCCTAGGCAAAGAATTTATGACTAAGATCTCAAAGGCCAATCCACAAACAACAAAAAAATTTAAAAAATGACTTAATGATATTTAAAACTTCTACACAGCAAAGAAAATAATCAAGAGAGTGAATACACAACCTATAGAATGGGAAAAAATAGTCACAAACTATATACCTGACAAATTTCAAGAATCTACAAAGAACTCAAGCAAATCACCAAGAAAAAAACAAAAAACAAAAAAACAAAAAACAACTCCATACAAAAGTGAGCAAAAGATATGAACAGAAGCTTTTCCAAAGAAGATAGACAAATGGCCAAAAAACATATGAAAAAAATTCTCATACTAATCACCAGGGAAATGCAAATTAAAACTACAGTGGGTTGCTATGGCACAAGGATGGGATGGATATTCCTTGCTGAACAACCTGCCCTAATCCAACAGCACAACTTTCCACATGTCACTGAACTATACAAAAACTTACTATGAAAAGGTGGTTTGGGTTAGAATCACCTTGAGAGAAGCAAACACATCTGACCAAAATTTAATCTGTCAATAAACCAAGTCCTGCAATCTAGGCTGTTTTGTTAAGATAATCTTTTCTTTAGGTCTGCTAAGAATTTTGTGATCCCCAGAAAGAAATAAAAATAATAATACTGAAACCCTGAGAGTGTATCAAAATAAGCATAGAAAAACAAGCACAAAAATAAAAAAAGTCATCAAAACCATGATACTGATGCTTTAAAGATTTAAATGAAACTATAGCAATGAGTTCTGTAATCTTTGTTTTTATATATTTGTGAATTAAGGTTTTGAAGTATTTAAAAGGATTAGCCATTCTAAATATATAATTGCAGTTAGTTTATATTGTTTAAATGATTTTTTAAATAAATTTTTAATCAATATTTGAAGACTCCAAGAAAAATTGGTTTTCAGTTTTTGGTATTAGATTTATGAGCTTAATAAACTGAGCAATAAACAAAGGGGAAAAATAACACAATGAGATACCACCTGACCCTATCAGAATGGCCATGACTAAAAAGTCCAAAAACAATAGATGCTACTTAAACACAGAGAAAAAGGAACACTAATACACTTTTGGTGGGACTAATAATTGGTATAACCTCTATGGACAACAGTATGGAGATTCCTCAAAGAACTAAACATAGACCTACCATTTGATCCAGCAATCCCACTACTAAGTATTTACTAAAAGGAAAAAAAAAAAGATATTTTATAAAAGAGACACTTTCACTTGAATGTCTATTGTAGCACAATTCATAATTGCAAAAATGTGAAATCAACCATCAACCCAAGTGCCCATCAATACATGAGTGGATTAATGAAATGCGGTATATATAATACATAACATGGAGTACTACTCAGCCATATAAAGGAATGAAATAATGTCTTTTGCAGTAACTCGAATGGAACTAGAGACTATTATTCTAAGAGAAGTATTTCAGGCAAACACTACATGTTTTCATTTACAGGTGGGAGCTAAATGATAGTTACACACAGGCTCAAAGAGATATAAAGGACATTGGAAACCAAGAAGGGAAAGTGGGAAATATAATAAAATATTATATTTATTTATCAATAAAAATACATTTATTTTATAGGGATCAAATATAACCTATTGGGGAGAGTAAACACTATTCTGGTGACAGGTACACTAATAGCCCTGACTTAAGCATTATACAATGTATCCATGAAAAAAATTGTACCCCCTTAACATTTTGGAAAAAAAAATCACAGAGCAAAAAATATCTGCATTGGTGAAGTCATTAACCAAGGCAAAAAGTTCAGTTTGAACTGGTTGAATTGGAGCTGCCTCTGGAGCATCCAATTTGATAGTTTTCCGAGGCAGTTAATTACATATGTTTGGAAACTGAGAGTGATTAGAACTGCCAATATAGATCTTAAAGACAGCAACACATAAAAGGTTACTGAACAAACTGATAAGTTTGCCCTGGGAGAATGCGTAAAGTGAGAACAAAAATATGTTTGTGAAAAACCATGAAGAACAATAGTGTTGGTGAGATGGAAGAAGAAACTGAACCCAAAAAGGAGACTTATCAGAGGCAGCTAGGAAGAGAAGAGAAATCTCCAGAAGATGCAGGTCACAGAAACCAATAACAAGAGCAGTAAATATAATCAAAGTTAGTAGAAGTCACATAAGTAATAATAACTGAAAATTGTCCATGGAAGTCATAACCTGGGAATCATTATAACTTGGCAATTAAATACTTACAATAAAGTGGTAAAAAAAGAGAAATCACATTGAAACGTGTAGCAGAGGGAATGGAGAAGGCGAGTTACAGGTTATCTAACCCACGTCTCTTTCTTTATTTACCCCATAGACATCTTGTAAGAATCATTTAAATCCTATGTTCTCCTTTCCCTTCCTCTTACTATTCTGTACATGTTTCTCTTTCCTTTTTGAACTGCTATAAAATTTATGTCTTATTTAAACACCATAAGAGTATCAGCCAGGAATTGTAATTTTAAGCAGCAGTCTATGACTCTTTTTTAACCAGAAAAAGAGAATTTATTAAAAGAAAAAAGTTAGGAAGACTGGCATATGAGAATGAGATAAAGAGATAAAACCAAGAGATGTAAAATGGAAAGAATGATAGCCAAACTCTATTCAGCAAAGAGACTTCTCACTGCTAAATACTTGGCACAGCCTCTACCACCTGTACCTCTTTGCCTAGATTCCTTTATTGATGCCACTGCCACAGTTGCCCCTAGAAACATTACCCTTTCTACAACCTGTTCAAGCACAGATCCAAATTCAAAATTCCTAGACTCCCTTTCCACCTCCACCTACCTCCTCCCACCATTGGTTAGGCTCAGGTCTTAGAACACAGTCCTAGCTTCTAGGGAGCTGGGAAAGAAAGTGGCATTTTCAGCTTCTATACTGGGCAGCATATTCTGCCTTCCACTGAGTATCAAACTGAAGATATTATAGAAAATTCCCCAAAAGTAGGA